TTACCACGTGAGCCCTAAAGAGGCTCGGGGACACGCTGAAGCCTCCGCGAGCTTCTTCAGCGTGAGAAATATGATGCTGTACACGATCCACGAGGCCCGGCGCGCGCTGTTATTAAAATATATCGCTCATATCAATCACGCGGGTTATCATGCTCGATAGGTGTTATTGGGAGGCGTGTGCGCGCGCTGTCATCACACCGTGTTGTTATTCGGCTTCATATTTCACCACCCCGGAACAGTTAGTGTTTTAGTTAAATATGACGGAGGATAAAATCGGAACACCTGGGAATTCATTTGTTTTAGACCGATCAATACTCACAGCGCGCGGAATATTTAATGATCCCGTTTTATTGGTTCGCCATTACCTGACATACATATTTTATATACACGTGTATACTTGAGTATCATCTGTAAAATGTGTTTCTTTACACCGTTATCATCAATAATACAGGTGTGATATCAGATCTACATTAAATATTCATACAGACCTGAACAGTGTTTTCTCTCATTTAAGAGGTTTTACTCGTTATTTTGCGGGAAAGTTTTAAAAAAACACGAGAACGAGGAAATAACACTCCAGCAGGAACACTAAGTTAGATTAATCAGTTTCTGAGTTTTACAGTTTCTGTTTTAGTTTGTTTTAGTCATGTCGTATTTTTGAATACAGTAGAAATAACAACACAGCTACAGCTATCCTGTATATAGGTTACTATAGATACACAAACTTCAATCATCAATAATACAGGTGTGATATCAGACCTACATTAAATATTCATATAGACGTGAACAGTGTTTTAGATAGACAGACAGACAGACAGACAGACTTTATTGATCCCAAACTGGGCAATTCTCAAAGTTCTTTTCTCTCATTTAAGAGTGTTTACTCGTTATTTTACGGAAAAGTTAAAAAAAAAAACACGGGAACGAGGAAATAACACACGGGGACTATCATAAAGTTAGATTTATCCAGAAGTTTTTTTTTTTTGTTTTTTTTTACAGTTTCTGTTTTAGTTTGTTTGTCATTTGATCACGTTTAAGTCATGTCTTATTATTGAATACCGTTGAAATAACAACATAGCCACAGCTATCCTGTATATAGGTTACTATAGATACACAAACTTTAATCATCAATAATACAGGTGTGATATCAGACCTACATTAAATATTCATGTAGACGCGCCCTTCATATCTGAACAGAGTTTTCTCTCATTTAAGAGTTTTTACTTGTTAATTTACAGCAAAGTTTAAAAAACACGAGAACTAGGAGTTAACATACCGGGACTACAATAAAGTCAGATTATTTTCTAGTAGTTGTTTTACTTTTCTTTTTTAGATTGTGTTTGTTTGTCTTTTGATCACAATTTAGTCATGTCGTATTTTTGAATACCGTAGAAATAACAGCCACAGTTATCCCGTATATAGGTTACTATAGATACACAAACTTCAATCATCAATAATACAGGTGTGATATCAGATCTACATTAAATATTCATATAGACGCGCCCTTCAGATTTGAACGGTGCTTTCTCTTATTTAAGAGTTTTTACTCGTTATTGTACGAAAAAGTTCAAAAAACACGAGAAAGAGGAAATATAAAAATTGGGACTAACACTAAGTTAGGTTTTTTTTCTGGAAGTTGTTTTCAGTTTATGTTTTACGTTTGTCTTCAGATCAGGATGAGAAAATATAATCACGTTGTAGTCATGTCGTATTTTGGAATACCGTAAAAATAACAACAAAGCTACAGCTATCCTATATACACGTTACTATAGATAAACTTAAACTTGTTTACATGCCGTTCTTGAACCAGTTTCTGCACTAAATAGGAACTTTAGTATTATTTTTCTAAAATTAGTCATCTTTATCCACCGTCTCCAGCTTTTCTCCTGTAAATCAGAGGCTGTTTTAAAATTCAATGTCCGTGCGTAAATGTGACATTCACTGACTCCTAATAAAGATGTTTAAAACGCACCGCCATTAGAGAAAAGTGCTGATTGATTCTTCTGGTTTTCCTACAAATAAATAAAATTAAATTCTCATTACAGCTTCTGTTTGTGATTTTAATAAATCAAAGTCAGAGTTAAAAATCTTCATATTAAACTAGTCCGTCACTTTAAATACTGAATTAATTTTAAATTATTAGAATTTATTATAATCTGCTTTAAACTTTTTCAACAAAATTCACTCAATAAAATAAAAAACCTGACCCCAGATTTGTTCTTAAAGTTGGTACATTTTAGTGAGTGCGCGTGAAGTCCAAACGTGTCCCTCTAAATCCGGACTCTCTGCTGTAGATGAAGGTTTGAGTCTCCAGGAAAAGCAGATTCTACCCCCTCAAGTTCCTCCATCAGTATTTCAAATCATCAGACATGAAGATGATGACAGTAACCACACTCTCTGCTTTATTTAAAACCTCCAACCACAAAGAGAGGAAACTGGAGATCTGACTAATTAGTCCTCTCGAGTTGATTTCACTCTAAATGAACCCGCTGATTGTTCCTCACACTCTCTGAGTTTTTCACAAAGTTCACTCTCTCTCTAGAAATCCTATAAATGTAGTTTATTGTCTTTAAATACTTTTATTGGCTCTTTTTATTTGATTTGATCAGACATGAAATCACTGACTTTAACATAATCAGATTATTACATTTAAATAACTTTTGTGAAATTTTGGAGACTCGGCTAAAGTCTGCAGGTTTTCACGAGGGTCTGTTTGGGCCCCGGATGACCCCGCAGAGGCCTGACTGTTCTGTTTTAGGGGAAACCTGCGACCCTCAGAGTTGAAGTTAAACTGTGACATAAAAAATAGACACGATCTTTTCTAATCCGTGAATTCTGCCTGTTATAAATCTGTGTTTGGGGTTATTTAAAGCTGCTAAAGCTGTCAGAGTACCGTCAGAAACTGAAGGTGGTTTCAGATAATGTCTTCAAGCCTTTTTCTGCGTCAGTGTCTCCAATTAACGCGCTGTCTGGATGGCAGGCCGGCCTGAAGGGCGGAGGCCCTGCGAAAAATTAAAATTCCCACAGCCTGCGGTCTGTGGGGAGGCCACTCTGACTGCAAAACATCCCGAGCATCTGTGAGTGGAAAACAAAGACTCTCTCTGCTCCAAACATGACAGGCAGGCGCACTGCGAGCGCACATCCAAGCATGAAGAGGTGCAAAACTCAAACATGCAGGAGAGAGAGGCTGCACACAACAACACCACCCTCACACCAAAGCTCCTCTCCACCTTTACGCACAAGAACAAGACTCTGAGTGCACTCTGTTCTGGTCTTACTGGGTCGCTCTGATCCAAAGGCAGCTCTCCAGATGAGCTGGAAATAGGTCCTTAAAGGCGGAAGGACGCAGGAATGTTTGCATTCAGAGCTCAGAGGCCGGAGCAGCTCCAGAGTCTCAGCAGCTGATCTTTGAAGGAGTCCTGCTCTGAGTTTGTTTCCACGCTCCTCAATTAAATCTCAGCAGCAGCAGCAGCAGCCGCTCAGTCTCCGGTCAGACTCATCATTCCTGCTCCTCAGCTGCGCTCTGCTCTACCTTCATCCTCGTAAATAACGCCTGCAGACCCTTAAGCAACGCGGAGTTCATATTTGATCGCCGTAAATAACCGTGTTCGCTGAATATTCGACGCACAGACCGGATTTATAGCCCGGTCCTGCGCACTGCCGTCCCCAAAGAGTCCAAGACTTCACGGCTGTGATAATTGTGCAGAAATATAAAGACTTACAGAGTTTGGAAAGGGTCAGCAGGAAGTCAGATGTCTGCACTCTGGTCTGCAGGAGTCTCCTCATTAAGGCTGCTTTTAGACCTGCAGAGTCTCTCTGAGTCTCTCGGTTCCCCCCTGAGCTCCGGTCCGAGCTGTGCTCCCTCCTGGCAGTCTGACCGCTGACTGAAGGCGCCCTTCACCCGGCCGACAGGAAGGCTGCAGCAGCTTCAGGCGCGTTTACGGTCCGCACCACCACAGGCCATATATCAGGCCTATAAAAGCCGAGCAGCCGCCCTGATGTAGGATTTTATTATGGTATTAAACGGACCCAAAAAAGTAGTTGAAGTAGTTTTCGCTGTAAAGACAAGGGGCATAACCGCGCAGGGCTCGGTTTAATGGCGCTCGTTAACAAAAATGACTGTTAATCTGCCAATAAAAGCGAGTCAGGAAACTCTGCAGCTCCGAGTCAGAGAGCGGCTGAATAATTAAAGTCAAAGGTGCGAGTTTTACTGTCTGTCTGATCTCTGATAGAAGAAAATATCTCCTCTCTCTCTTTAAGTGTTGGACTCAAACTAATCGTGTTTAGACGCGGAGCTCTCTGATTGATTTAAGGGATTACTTTCGCGCCATTTCAGCACGAGTGGATGTGCCACTGAGTAATGCGTCTCGTGCGCATCTATTTTGATTAGCTCGGGAACAAATAAATAAATAAAAAACATAAAAATAATGGCGCCACTTATTTGTCAGCCATTGTCTCCGCTCCACATTTCATGCGCACCGACCAGACGGAACATAATTTAGAGGTTTTCTATAATTTCACTCTGACACACAGCAGATATACACGCGCACGAGCTGCTCATTTTGCATATTGCATATAAACAACACTATTTATTCATAATGGGGGGGAGAGAAGAGAGAGAGGGGGAGAGAGAGAGAGAGAGAGAGGGGTGATTTACGCTCCATTGACGCTTTATCAGGCTCGAAGAGGAAAAAGTCCGGCCAATCAGTTCGCGTCTCACGCACAAACCCCCGCGCACTCACGCACGGTCCGGCTGTGACACTTTGTTTCTGTGTGGAGAGCAAGTTGTTTGGAAGAAGGGGGCTGAGAAAGCGAGAGAGAGAGAGAGAGAGAGAGAGAGAGGGGAAGGGAGGGGGCGAGCGAGCAGAGGACTGAAGAGAGAAAGAAAAGAGAGAGAGAGAAAAATCTCCTAATGTCTCTCTTCTTCTTCTTCTTCTTCTTCTCCTTCTTCTTCTCGTCCTTCTGCTGATCTCGCGGCGCTGCGCAGATAATGTCCGAGAATGTCCATTTCTGGGACTTTGAGCAACTATTACGTGGACTCCATCATAAGTCACGAGAGCGATGAACTCTCGGTCCCGGCTCGTTTTCCCGGCAGCGTGCAGTACTCCGGCGCGAGCTCGGCTGTCGTGGCCGGAGGGAGGCAGCCCGGCGCAGGAGCGGCGGCGGCGGCGGCGCACGCGGAGCATCCTCCTCACCCCGACTCGTACCCGTCCTGCAGCTTCCAGCCGAAGCCCCCGGTCTTCTCCTCGTCCTGGAGCCCCTTCAGTCCGCACCACGGTGCCAGCGGCCTCCCGGCTGTCTACCACCCCTACATCCCCGCGCAGCACGTGCCCGCCGCCGCAGACACTCGGTACCTCCGCTCGTGGCTGGACTGCGCGCCGCGCGGCTCCGAGTCCGTCCCGGGTCAGGGCCAATCGGGGCAGGTCAAGCTGGAGCCGCAGCTCGCGCACCTCGGCGCGGAGATCCCCCCTAAACTCGGCGGACAGCACCAGCACGAGACCACCACGTATATCCTGGAGCCGACGTCCACGGCGGCGCGCGAGCTAAGCCACCATCCGGCCGCCATCCCCGGAGCAGGGTTCGAGGAAAATAAGGACATTTGTGAGGGGAGTGAGGACAAAGATGGTCTGGATCAAAGTAAGTGATTAAAACAGGAAATAACACGCGGGAGAAAGAGAGAGAGCGCGCGAGGAGAGAGGGAGATTGTAAACGGTTTTAATGCCGCCATAAAACCAGAACAAAGAGCCGGAGAGCCAAAGTGCCCCCACCGTCTGCTGCTCCACAACTTCACCCCCGTATTTACCCCGGATCAACAGCTCCGGTCTGACCGGGTCACCGAGACAACAGAAACAAAAACCCAGAAAAGTTCAACTAATGGAGAAAAAAACAAACTTTAAAAACTAAAAACTTTAATAATATGAGATTAAATATGAGATTATATGAGATTATGAGAATCTGCACTTTAAACAGTGAACATGATAGTAAAGAGAGCCTCGGTGATTTTATTTATTAACATCTTTGAAAGAAAACAGGAGGGTCAGTTTTTATGACCTGTCAGAAAACTAATAAAGCAGCTTTGGTTAATTACTTTACATCAAACTAACATGAGAGAGAAAGTAGGTCAGGGTTACTCTCAGTGTATTTAAAGTCAAAGTTAATAATGAATCATTTTAATATAAACTGTCACTTTAATTCAGGAGGACATCATCTCTCCACATCCTTCAAATTTGACTCTCTGTGTTTTTGTTTTGGTCACTTCTTCATTTTTTTACCCTGATAATTCCAAGAGCATGCGCACTCCTGTCATGTGATGTGAAAATCTGGTTCGGCTCGGTGCTGTACTCTCTCTGTTTCTGCTTGTATATATATATTATTCTCTCGGTCTGGTTCTGCAGGTTTAGATCACAGGTCGTAGGTCTCAGACACTGGAGCGTGAAAGCGCGTCAAATGCGCTTTTTGCACCCCGGTGCGTTTTAAAGCTCCTCGTGCCAGTCAGTAAGTCAGCCAGTAACACACCCGGCTGCTGAAGCGAACTGCTTAAGTGTGACTTATAGACGTGTACGCTTATGTGCGTTATCCTGCTGCAAACTGAGCGGAGTCATTTTTACGCATCTGGAACCTTCAGTGGGTCTGAGTGTCCGGTCCTTTTTCTGATTGGATGTTAATTCTGTTAAAGGTTTCCTAGACAGCCATTAGTGTGAGCGTGTTTTGGACGGGAGAGCTTATTTGCCATATTTCTGTTCCCTGGTATCATCACTCCTGCTTGTAAACAGAGTAATAAGGATAAATCGGCGTATCGATCATCCTCTTTCATCCTGCAGACGTCTCCCTCTGTCCATCAGCCTGTCTGCTCCTTAAAATCATAAAAAATCATGAAGGAGTCTGGCCGTCCATCATCGAGCCTCGGAGCAGATTAGTTTTCAGAGCGGAGGCCTCATAACTCAGAGGAGTCCACGGCGCTCACACACACACCAGATGATCAGAAATATACAGGAGCGGATAAAACAGACCCATCGATCCGGATCTTCTGATTAAATCTGAGCTAAAAGAACCCAAAGTTTTCCTCTCAGGTGTTTAGTTGGTGATGAATCTACAGTGTGAACGAAATGGACTCAATTTATCTAAGAATAGAAAGAACCTCTGCTGTTAAATCCACCCCACAGCTGTGATACATCTCCTCAATGTCGTAAATGATATCACTCCGCCAATATTTACCATCACTTACATTATCCGGCTAAAGCGCACAAAGCCCCCCCCTCTCTCTCTCTCTTCCTCTCTCTCTCTCTCTTCTCTCCAACACTAACAGATTAGAGTAATTTTATGACTTCAGCTCATTAAATTCACTGAATTACTTCAGAGTAATAAAATAAAAGTAAATGCGCGGGAATAAATCTCCTTTTTCAGTAACAGTGGAAGAATTAAAGCTGAAAAACGGTCCCCGTTATTTGACTGTGAAGCCGTAAAAGTTTGGATTCAGCTTTTTAAAACGGGATCGGATATATTTGTGTGATATATACGAGAATTAAAAATCTGCAGGAGTTCTTTTTACAAATGCTCGCTCCTCTTTTTACCATCTGCTCCCTAATAATAATCATATTTTATGTGTCATGTAATCGCGATCGTGTTGATATAGCGCCGCGTGGAGGGTTTGGCCGGTGACACGCGGGTTAGTTGTGTTTTTCTATCATCACTCTCACAACAACAACATTGAATCCATCATGAGCAGCAGCAGCAGGGAGACAGAGCCCAGTGTCGAGCTCTTTTCCAGAGATTTATTCATCACGAGAGGACCAGAGTGCTTCAGATTCTCGCTTCTATTCTCGGGTTTCTTTTATTGAAGCTGGACGTGAAGAAGGTCTTCCTCTCCAGACTCGTTTGTGCCAGAAAAGCCTGATGCGTAATCCTGATTCTCCTGCGTGTTTGTGTTTGATGGCCTTTTCAGCAGGAGGATTACAAAACAGGAAACACACACACATACACGGACACACACACTGACACACACACACACACACTCCGCCGCCTTATTACAGCGTGTGAGCAGCTATCCATCAGAGCGGCGCGCTGGTTACGCGCTGGATGGAGCCCAGCAGCCCCCCAGCCTGAATTATGACACTTTCCCGTGTCCCGGTCTGGCTCTGTGTGCTCTCACTGATGAAGGCTCCTCTCCTCCTCCTCTTCTTCTTCTTCTTCTTCTTCTTCTTCTTCTTCTTCATGGTGTCAGCAGTTTCCCCTCGTGTTGCAGTGGGTCTTTGTGGCAGGTAGTGGGAGCTGCAGCGAGAAGCAAGTGTGTCTATTGTTCACATGGCGGCCATTTTGAACCCTGTAGCTGCAGCAGAGGCTGTTTCAGAGCCGGCACAAGCCTCGATGGGGCCCTGAGCAAAATGTGATTTTGGGGCCCTCTGTTTCTGCCAAAAATATTGATTGTTGATCATCCACACAGCTTCACAAATCTACTCCCTGACGTGCAAACACCTTTATCTCGGCGTTTTTTCTCTTCTCCTTTTTGCGATATTGTTTCGCTCCACAGCTACCTGCTCTTTGGATGCTCAGTGAACATCGCACAGCAGGAGGAACATAATATGGTAGAGGAGCTTTGACATATCGGCAGTAAGAATCATAGGCCGACATCAGCAGCAGCACTAAAATGTTTCTTGTCATCGCCGTTTGCTTCTGCTTCATCCGGGGCAGTAGCTTCAGACGGCCCTCACCCCAGCCACTTCCACCAGCTCTTCAGGGGGGATTCCCAGGCAAGGCCAGAGATATAATCCCTCCACCTGGTCCTGGACCGGCCACGAGGACATGTCTGGAACACCTCTAACGGGAGGTGTCCAGAAGGCGTCCTAACCAGATGCCCGAGCCACCTCAGCTGACTCCTCTGGACGTGGAGGAGCAGCGGTTCTCCTCTGAGCGCCTCCCGAGTGTCCGAGCTCCTTACCCTATCTCTAAGGCTGAGCCCGGACACCCTGAGGAAGAAACCCATTTCAGCTGCTAGTATTTTATTTTTACAATAATATATTTTTATTTTTTGATTGCTCTAAGGGGCCCCCCTATTTGCCGTGGGGCCCTAAACGAGCCCATAGGTTCGCTGATGCCTTGATCCGGCTCTGGGCTGTTTCTCCCCCGTTCGTATTTCCACGTCTAAATCCAGAGAACCAGGATGTTTCCTAAATTAGAAAGTGAGGTTTCATTTAGGAGAGGAGTCGGTCCGTGAAACCTCAGACTGTTCTGACTGAAATCTGAGTTTTAGAACCAGAAACATCAACAGAGACGATTCAGAGAGACTCGTTTTTCGTTGGTTTAACCTTTTCTGTCTCTGACACGTCTGCGTCATCTCTCTGAAGTTTATCACTGAAGCTTCAATCTTTAAAAATAACTAATTCAACATTTTCAGAGAGCAGGGCTGTTCGGAGGGAAATGAAACCACTTCCATGTTCATGAACTAAAACCTCTCATTACCTGAAAGTCTGCGGCTCAGCAGATTTTTGGAAACTTCTTACATCGCTTCATCAAAAAGCTCCAATCTTACAACAGCGGTTTATTTCTGTTTTTACTCAGTCTGAACTCGTGTCGTGGTTTTTTTAAAGGTCAGTGGAGAATCTTGTGAAGGTCAGATGTTTCAGAGATGAAGCAGAAATGAACTGAAGTCCTGATGAAGATGTTAACAGTGGAGACGAGGATCTTAATCCAGGAGACGGTGCAAGAAAAACTTTATTATTTCTGCAGAAAGACTCTGAGTCTGCAGGTTTGGAGCTGTGCACATATTTCTGTACAGTTCTAGTATTTTGCGTTTAGTCTTTGGATATTAGATTGAACATGTTATGAGTGATTGTTCATGTGTTAAAGTAAATATTAGTTTGGCTTAGGTAGGACAGACAGACACAGAGGAGAGACCGTTTTTATTCTGTGTTTTTACTCGGACACTGACTGATTTATGAGACCTTGCGTACAATCCACGTTCTCTCAGTTTGATTTTTAAGATATTATCATCCCTAACTTTCCTTTTTTTGTCCTGAATCGTCTTCGTGTTTCTTTTAAAAGCTTCTTTCTCTTCTTTAAAGCTTTTAAAACCTGAAACCTCAGTTTAACGTTGCAGGACAGTGAGGAGAAAAGTCTGTTCTTGTCTGAATTGTGTTTTTTTTAAAGTCGTGTTTTGGTGTTTGTTTCTCGTGGATGGACTGATAATGCATCCTTTTGAAATCTTTGTTAAAATTCAGATTAATGGACATTTTCTGGTGAAAGTCTGATTTGTCTTGAGGGCAGACCGGAGCAGGGATCTGGACTCGGTTGTTTTTGCAGAACCTCTCAGCAGGGAGCTTTAGAAATGATGGGTGTGCAGCTCGGCACAAACCTGGGAGTCTCCCTCCTCCTCCTCCTCCACAGGTATTCAAGATGGCGTCTGTGTGAAAAGCATCAGTGGAATTTTACCTTTAAAAACATCCAGTTACAGATTCTCTTTGTGTTCTCTTTGGAGCTGGGCGGCGATCCAGAATCAACTCCAAGATTACACTTCAGTCTTTGTGCCGCCGCTGCTGCTGCCGGCCCGGCCCCAAAGTTATTACCCCTGAAGTTTATTAAGTTATAACGCCGGGTGAACAACCCCATTAATTGGCGGGCTGCTGTTGGTGGCTGGGTGAGATGGGGTGTAAGGGTCGGGTGGGCGGGGGAGATAAAATACGACTGCAGGAAATGTAATAACGTGCCTTTGGGATATATGAGAGGTCAATTTCTGGAACTATTAGGGTGAAATTGCAAAGGGAGGGAGAAAGAGATGGGATGTGATATTAGTCTTGTAGCCTTTTTGGTCTCTGTTTCCATGCAAGCAGCATTCATCACACACACTCACACACACTCACACGCACACACACACTCATTGTGCTGCAGGGCCCGAGCTTTACGGGAATATCAATCTTTTCGTCCATGTTGTTCCTGTCTGTGTCACATCAGAGCATCACATCGCTCCTGCAGATACGAGGATGTAGCCTAAAGAGAAAACTTCAATTTAGTGCTGCACAAGCTGTAAACCCACCGCGAAAAAACACACAAACCCACTAAAGCCCTCCAACTGTGTGGTTTACGCTTCCACGTTTACGATTTCTCTTTAAAACGTACCAGATATCTGATTTAGAACAGATTTCCATTGTCCTCGCAGCTTCTGTTCACGTTTCTGATGTCGGGTTTGAGTTGTGCGCCGATTTGATCGGATAGTTAACGAGAGAAATTAGAAAACTAGACGATCACAGAAGCAGAAACGTGGTGCAGCATCTTTTCAGAGGATTATTGAGGTCAATGTTGAGTGCAGAAAGAGAAGGTTATTGCTGTTTCATTGGAGCACATCTAGGAAACACAGATCTGGTCTAGACTGACTGTTAATTCTAGATAACATAGATGTTTGTGAACATCGTGTGTCTAAACCAGATGAGATACAGGAATCAGCCGTTCAGACCAGACTAGGTTGTAAACATGTTTAATTTTGGTCTTGAATTGGCTGTTTTATCATTGCTGTTAATGGGACTTCTTGGCTTTTGCAGCCAGCCCCTAGTGGACCCCAGAGGTACTGCACTTTTTGTGCTTCCTCATCACTGGAGGTTTCAGTTTATTTGTATCTGATCACTTATTGATCAGATAAAATGAATCTTAAGATGTCGAAGAGTTTACATATTACTCAAAATAACTGAGACATTTACAAACCTGTAATCTTTTCATGGCCCAGAAAATCCTTCTTATCTTACAGTCCTAATTAAAGTTTGTGGCAATATGCAGGTTTTAGACAGTTTAGGCACCCAGGAGGTCCAGGAGGCTGTGTTCCTGTAGGATCTGACCCCTGTCTGATTTGGTTCACGTTGTTCCCCCTCTCTTAAACCCACAGTTCCTGTTTCATAAACTCAGAGCGGTGACGGGTGAGCGAACATCTCGGCACAAACAGTTTGAGAAAATAAGATCTGAACTAAAAACTTTGAATTCTTCTTTACAGTTTTGAAATCAGGTCTTCTGATATACTTGCAGTACCTTTGTAAACCACTAGGGGGCTTCAACCCACACCTCAGAAACTGTCGCTCTTTTAATCGTCTCTAATTTTAATCATCGTTTATTTTCTCTCATTTTCACTCTGATGCTTTTTTTTACCGTTCTTTTTCCACGTCCTGTCTTTCCACCGTCATCTTCTCTATCTCACGATCCCCTCACCCTTTAAAGAAAAAAAAAAAAGTCCACCCCCCCACTCCGCCTCCACCCCCCTCAGCCGGTTTGTCATCCTGGGTGACAGGCTCGGTCGTGGCACAGCTCCGAGGGTAATGGATGGTCCTGAAGGTGATTATACACCCGGGGAATGCAAAGCACCCACTTTACCGTGTGACAAAAGCGCCGCGCACACACACACCCGCCCCCCCCACCCCTCCAGCCTGTCCTCGCCTCTTTACCAGGCATTATTTTGCTCTGAGATGAAATCGATCCTCGACATGCTGGCCATGTTGGAGGAAATTGATTCCAGAGGGTATTAATGACGTATTTACTGATGATGGCTGCTAACCAACCTGGAACACGAGGAGGAGGAGGAGGAGGAGGAGGAGGAGGAGGAGGAAGAGGAGGCTTGATTAGGCCAGATCCACTCAGGGGGGGGTGATATAGGGAGCATCACAGGCAGCCATCTTGGCTCTAGTCCTAATGAAATCACCAAACAGAGCCGAGTCCATCCACAGGTCCTCTTCAGTCACATGTTCAGTTTGGTCGTCCGAATCTTCAGAGTCAGTGTTCGTCTGAAAATTGTCTCTTTTCTTCTTCTGTCACTAAAATTCTTCAATGTTCCTCTTCTTTCTAAAAATCTCTCCATCATCATAATCGATAATCGAGTTTTTATTGATGATCGTTCCTTAAAGCTCCTGTGAGGAACTTTCTGTTTGTGTTGGTTTCAGCGCCCCCCTGTGGACTAAATTGGTATCTCTTCATTAGTGCAGCTCCGTCTAATGATTGAAGACCCTCTGAGGTGACGAACCAGAGCGTGTAGTTGACACGTATTTCCAAAATAAAACTCCGGAGTCGTCAATCTCTCCTTTCTTGAATTTACTCTGAGGTTTACTTTGCACAACAAAACGGTACTTTTTACAAATAATAATGACGAAATCAAGACCCGATGTAAACAGGGTCAAAAACTATTGTGCAGGTCTCACATGACATGTCTCCTCCAATAGGAGAGCTGCAGTAATAATCAGCTTCAATTAAACTTTAAAGTAAAACTAAACAACTGTTCAGTCTCTCAGAATTCTGATCAGGATAAATAACAAAAAATATTAATTATCTGTTAAATTATCAGTCGTGCACAAACGGCCCTAACACTCTTTTCTTTGCTGATCTTGTCCTGTTCATAGTGAGGTGTGTGTGTTGACTTTGGCGCCCCCTGTGGACATAAAAGAGTTGATCTTGTTCTTGTGTTTTTCAGTTCTGATTAGACTCTAGTGCTGATTGAGTTTGAGATTACAGTGAAAATACATATGGTCTGTTGTATCTGAACAGGTTAGCTTACGATCTAAAGGTACTTAGCACAGATGAAAGTTCAAACAAAGACGTTTATCAAACTGTTAAAGCTCACAAACCATCGTCATATGAGAAATCTGACGCTAAGACTCTCCACAAGTTGTCCTTCAGGTCGTTATCTTTGTAATGTTTGTGTCTTTAATCAAAAATCACTCTGTTCTCCGACACGTAAACAATCAGCCGGTCGGCCATGTTGGATATACCGGTGAATCAGACGTCGCAACAACACGTTATCTGATTGGTCAGAAGTGGACACACAGTATGGGAAACTTGAGTAAATTCGAATATCGCAGGACGGGAAAACGTCGCTGATGTGAACGCTTGTATTGACAGGATACGGGTTCGAAAAAGATATTGACGCCCAGAATAATCGCATGATAAAAAAACGCTACCAGTGTGTAAGGACCTTTAGGCGTTAAAATACTTTTTTTCACCAAGAATATATTTTCTCTGGATCCTCATTTTTCAGAGTCCTCCAGATTTTTCACATGAGAAAGTTAAACTCCAAATATTTATAGATGAAATTCACCGAACAAGCAGCCAACAGCACTCATCCAGAGAGAGAGCTGCTCTTCTTCTTCTTCTCTTCTCCCGAGTGTTCACAGCTCTGACTGTCATAAGCACTTTGGCATTAAAACGACTTTAATTGTCACATGGATGAATTATTAGCAGTGAAATTGAACACAGACGGAGGAGCCTCCACCCAGAACTCGTCAGGAGAAAATGCAGCTCCTCGGGGGAGGGACACACATCCTGATCCTCCCGCCTGGCGTCAAAGCTCAGACTTTCCTCAGGACTTGTGAATGATAAGATCATCCCCTCTGACATTTCAGGCCTGCAGACTGAGGCTGGGTTTGACAAACCCCCTCTTATACCCCCTCACTGCCCTGCAGACCTGATGCTGTAAATCCGTCACTTTTGGGTTATTTTTTGCAACATAATGCAGTTTTTTCTTTTTCTCCTCAAAGCTGCTTTAGATTGAGTTTGTCTTCCTAAATTTACCCTGATGGTGAGGCTGCATGTGTGCTGTGTTTGACCCACTCCCTCCACGGCTTAAATATAGAAATAAAACAGGCATGTTTGAACCGATAAATCCAGAGTGGATTCCCCTCTGCAGCCACATTTGGGTTTCGCACTAAATTTGGAAATGCACCGCTGAGTAGAAAGTGCAGCTGCAGGATTTCCTTCTGTTTCTGTGGATCCTCCAACTTTTACAGACCGAAAGGTGGAAACTCCAACTTTTAGCTGCTTCATTTTTGTGTTTCCTGTCATATCAACTAACATGCTTTTTCTTGAGTTGCTGGGATTTAAAGGAGTGAGACCTTTGAGATTCCTCTTCACAGTTGAAGATTTCATCTCAAAGATTTATAAGTGTGAGTGGAGCGTGGATAATAACCAGAGATTTAGGATAAACTGATTAAAACGAAGTACAAGCTGCAGGCAGAAAGTGTCTTACAGAGATAACCAAAAGTCAAAAGTGTTTCTTGTTGGAGTTGCAGCTAGAGTCGACCTCATAGTTGAGATGCTTTGGTGCTTCGCAGAGGAGAAGAGCGGATAATTTCCAGCCCTAAACCAGACCCATGTGTCCCAAACGAGAGCACTCTGCTAATTACATCGCTCTGAGAGCTATAAAAGGAGGAGACAGGGTGGCCTGGAAAACAAGAGAGAGAGAGAGAGAAAATAGATGCAAAGATGAAAAACCATAACTCATATTTTTCCCTGTAATGAACAAAAAGAGAAGAAAAAAAACGATCAGGAGGACCGTTTGAGTCGTTTTCATGAAAAAAGTCAAATTAAAAGAGGATGTTTCTGCTCTTCATCAAGAATCCTTCACTCCCACTTTCTCCAGAGTTAAATTAACAAATAAAAATCTGCTTTCAGTTTTAGTTCAGCTCATCACAAACATGTTCACCTCCACTCTGAACAATCTCCCGCATTAAGAAGATCCTCTGTGAAAATATTGAATCCATGAAAGCCTAATTAAAGGAGAGGGGAATAAAAGGAAGCAGCAGAAATATTTCCCTCCAACCCCGCGAGGCCCGTAAATCTCCCGCCATTTATTAATTTAGGAGCAATCAGGAGACACTCGGTGACAGTGAGCCGAGCCTCCACGTGATCATCATCATTCTCACGCGCGCACAGAAGAAGAAGAGGACAGTATTAGGTCTGTAAAACATCCTCCCTGATGTGTTCGCTGTCATCACGAGAGGCGGAAATTTCAGCTCCTGTTTATGATCACAAATATAATTTAAGCCACACTAATTTCTGATTTATTGGTTTTATTTTCTTCTGGTACAAATAAAATTATATGTTATTTTCGAGTTGTATTTTTCTCCGTTGAAGGTCAGCCTCAGAAAAACAGCCTAAAGACAAGTCAGATCAATTTGATTCCCCCTCTAAATCAGCTTTCTCAAATTATACACTCATTACTTTTATATGCTTTTTATCGAATTGTGAATAAATTGTATTTAAAGTTTAAGTTTTGTTCCGTTGAAGTAATGGTTTAATGCATAAAAACATGGAAATAAGACAAACAGGTCAGCTGAGTTCAGCTCTAAGTTACACTTCTGTAGTTTTGAAATCTTCAGAATGATCTTTTTTTCTGCACGAAGGTTTCCTGCAGGTCGTCTGTCTTCCACGTGGTGTCAAATAAAACAGCCACGGATCTCCTCGTGGCAAACTCGCGCCCCGCGTTGACACCATAAAACTATTTTACGCACCAAAGTGTCAGATAGAGAGAGTCACGTGATTCCAGCTCAAAGCTCTACTCATTAATTAGTGTTGGTTTTACATTTTTGGTGTTTTAATCTAACAAAACTCATATTTGTATATTTAATATTTTATCACTTAATGTCCATTTTTTACTTCTTCCTGCCTGACAACATAAAACCATTATATGCTCAAAAGTGTTAGAGAGTCACGTGATTCCAGTTTAAAGATGGTGTTAGTTTTACTTTTTGATATTTTGATTTAAAAAAAAAATCACATTTGTATATTTTATATTTTATCACTTTTATTTTTTACCATCTTTTTCCATCTCCTTCTGTTGACACCATAAAACTATTTTACGCACCAAAGTGTCAGATAGAGAGAGTCACGTGATTCCAACTCAAAGCTCTACACATTTATTAGTGTTAGTTTTAACTTTTTGGTGTTTTAATTCTACAAAACTCATATTAATATCTTTGATATTTTATCACTTAATGTCCATTTTTTCCATGGCCCCGCGTTGACGCCATAAAACCATTTTACGCACAAAAACGTCAGATAGAGAGTCAGCTGATTCCAACTTAAAGCTCTTGACATTGGTTGATGTTTCGATTTTTGGTATTTTAGTATTTTAATTCTACAAAACTCATATTTGTATATTTAATATTTTATCACTTTATGTCTCCTTCCGTTAACACCATGAAACTATTTTACGCACCGGAGTGTCAGGATCAGTTGTTTTTACGCACAGCTTTTACGCACGGTGGATGTTGTTGTTGTTGTTGTTGTTGTTTTCTTTGTTTATTTTAATGTTATAAAAGCTCACGTGCACTGATTGTTAAATGACCTTTCCTTTCCTTTCCTTCTCTCCTTTCCTCCAGATGACCCCTCGGCCAACTGGCTGCACGCGCGCTCCTCCAGGAAGAAGCGGTGTCCGTACACCAAATACCAGACGCTCGAGCTCGAGAAGGAGTTCCTCTTCAACATGTACCTCACGCGAGACCGGCGGCACGAGGTGGCGCGCGCGCTCAACCTGACGGAGCGGCAGGTGAAGATCTGGTTCCAGAACCGGAGGATGAAAATGAAGAAACAGACCAAGGACCAACCGAAAGACTAGCTGCAGAGGGGCCTCTCTCGGGTGTGCACGCGCGCACACAGAAATGGGGTTCAGACGCACGTGCACGCACGCTCACAACATGTATCTTAACGTAGTTTAAACACAAAATGGCCTTCTTCTTCTTCGTCTTCTTCTTCTTCTTAAAACTGCAGAAACACGCACAGACGATTTTGGTTTGAAACCTCCAGGCACAACAAGCACGTGACTCTCCGGCCTCTATCACACCGATCAATACACCTGATCAATGACTCTATTGATCCCTATAACAGACGCTGAGGACGCCGCAACATTCACACTGAAGTCTTACGGAGGTGTGGCCACGCGAGTTTTTGGATGTTTGAGTTTTTAAAGGTCACCACACAGATGGACCGACAATGAGACTGTGGTGACACTTCCGGTCTTTTTATTTACGCTGATGTGTTTTTGCTTCATTTTAAAAGGGGGGAGAGAGAGAGAGAGAGAGAGAGACAGAGAGAGAGAGAGAGAGGTGTTTTCCTCCTGTATAAAGAGCACTATCGGTTTCTTTCTTTTCCTTTTATTAGTTATTTATTGTTCCGTATCTGACACCCGAGGCGCGCGAAGGTGCTGAAATCGGGCTTTCACGCGGCCATTAATAAGCACTTGGAGCGGAGGGGGGGTGCACACACACTCACCGAACACACACCTCCTATTTCTCCTCCTCCGGTCGTGTTTGATTAGAAAGCTCCTCCTGATGTTCGGCGGTGATACAAGCATCGAGCCGCCGTTTGTTTCCAGGTTGTCGGCCTAAGTAATGAGCAGATACCGCGAGGACGGGGAGGGTGGGGGTGGTGGAGGCGGTGGTGGTGATGAGATGGTGGGGGTGTTAACCCGACTCAGCAACCGGGGATCAGATTAGAGCTGCTGTCGATACCGCGGATCCCGCCCTTCAGCTACCTCTCCGGATGCTTTATGCGCTGCGGCGGCCGTTCACGCGCGGCTCCTATCGGCTGTCGATAGTCGCACGAGCCCGGAGTCAGCAGGGTTTATCTGCGTGCGGACACACTTATTAAAAATTACACCATAAATACCACGAGTCCGAGTTTGGTGTCAAATATGGGGGAGACTGGGAACGGTTGCAACACTCATCAAACTATTTTACAGATATTTAACCAGATCTTTTTGGGAAATTATTAAAACTAGAATAATAGTTTAAAAATATTTATTAAAGTCATTTAAATATGATGTTCAGAACAAACACTGATGAGAATTTTTGTAATGTAAAAAAAAAACTTATGACAAAAATTCTCTGTCTGTTTGGAAAACAGTAAAATAAAATCTATGCAATTTTAAGAATTAGGCATAAAAACTTTTCAGTAAATATTTCACATATACTAACATGATTATGGTTTGTTTTTGTGACCATCTCTGATTTTTAATTTCTGTGTAAAAATAATTTTAAAAAATCTTTTTTTTTTTTCTGAAGAATTTTATTAATTTGAGGAATTTGTTGCGAAGGTCTCCAGCTCCCCCTCCTACAGATGATAAAAACAAACAGCTTTAAATCTCCTCATATTTTGTGACCCTGAAAACTCCTCCTCACTGGTCAGAAAAAGACTTTTAACTGTTTGCGTAAAATGTGCAAAAATGTCAGGTTTAGTCCGCACCAAGTCCGTGTGCGCATGAAGTCCTGGTTCACCCTCATACTCAGTGTGGTCCTCATTTCTATTTTTATACATAATCTACTCTATGTCGTCGAATATCTGCTATGCAAGGCCGGTTCTTCTATCTGATCCAGGAAAGGTGATTTCTTGGAGTCCAGATCTCTGTCCGTGTTTGTTTTCTGTCAAAGATGAGGATTCCTGGAGGAGGTGTCGAGAGAAAAAAAGGACAAGCCGCGCGAAACGCTTTAGCAATAGTGTCCGGGTTTAACAGTTGAGAGAGAAATGACCCGGTTCGAGTCCGTTTATGCAGAATTTTATGGATGTGAAGAGAGAGAGAGGCCTACACGGCCCGGTCTGCTCCGCTCTTATTTGAAGTGTCGACGCAGTTAAATGGCGTCCGATGGCAGTTTTATGGACGGATCATAAACTACACACAGGCTTTACAGCGTTTACAACAGCGAGAGTGTGTGTGTGAGAATGTGTGAATGAGAGAGATGGTGTGTGAGCACCACTACAATATAGAAACTAAACACACATTATATACAGATATAGTTTAAACACACACACACACTTGTAAACCTCCAATTTATTCTCATTAACTCGCAGAAATAACGGGTCTTCATCCAGCCTCGTGTGTGTTTTTGTTTTTATTTTAATTTTTTTAAAGTCTTATATATAGAGAGAGAGATAAGCGCGTGCAGCATCAAATGATCTCTTCACGAGTCCAAATGTTTACATGGTTTGCGCATGCCTCGAGTCTTTCGGTCTTTTTGGAGACGTTTTTTCCGTCGTTTACTCTTTCTGTGTGTGTGTGTGTGTGTGTGTGTGTGTGTGTGTGTGTGTGTGTGTGTGTGTGTGTGTGTGTGTGTGTGTGTGTGTGTGTGTGTGTTCAGTGTTTTCGGAGGGGAATGCTTACAGAAAAATTCAAATAGAAGTTTCTTGATAGGTTAAAAAAGTCCTTATTTATTGTATATAAAGTGAGTAACCTCGTCTTTCTTATCTGGATATGCTGATTCTTGTTCGTCTTGACTGTATATAGATGATTTTTCTCCTTCTTTTTTCGTCCATCATGTTTCTTCTGTTATTGTTGTACTGACTGTCTGATTCTCTCATGTGTTTAAAGTGAAGCCGGATGATCATTTGAAATTGGACTTGTTGTCTCTGTCAGTATTTACTCTCTGGACTTGGAGGCTCTCGGTTTCTGGACTTTCTGGCTGTTAATAAATATGGATCGAGCCCCAGGAGTCGTTTGCTTCTCCCTCCGCTTTTTAATGAGACAAATGTAGTCCATGTGTCCGCAGTGAAGGCTTTATCACCGAGCAGGCGAGCTCCAGTCTCCGGGATCCTCTCCTCCATGTCTCCATGTCTGTCCTGTTTCTTGTGCGTTTTCTTCTTCTCCTTCTTCTTCTTCTTCTCTTCTGTGTTTGTTGTCTCCTGTTTCTTTGTGCGATGGCACTGCTGATGCTGGATTCCTATTAAAGAAGAGACTTTACAGAAACACCATTGTATACTTCCTCTTATTCACATCTAATACAAACTCAATCATCTGTGCGTAAACTTGAGGGAGCTGCAGGATGTCTGCGCTCGAACCTCTCCACTTTTTGAGTCTCTGTGGGAAGACACGGAGACACGGAGGCGAGGGGGGGATGAGGCAGCATGTGTTTAAAATATGTGCGTCCTCAGTCGTACACTGCAGCTTAAAGGAGAGGGGCGTCTGTTTGGCTGCAACACCAAAAGACTGTCATAAACCCATAAACACCCCCGCGCTCTTTACGCACACGCACACACACACACACACACACACACACACACACACACACACACACACACACACACAGACACAGATGATGATGAGTGCATTCATTAGCAGCGCCGTCATCCATCCGTCCATTAGGAGCTTGTGAAGCCGCTGCGGTTCCTGTGTTTGTCTCTGCACCAAATGACTGACAGACACAGAGTCTGATGGTGAGGATGAAGAGGAGGAGGAGGAGGAGGAGGAAGGCTGCTTCCTCTCCTGATTCTCACGTGAGGCTGCAGGAACAATTATAATCCGACAAGTGGGATCCTGAAGTTTGGCACAAAGATCCCATTTGGTGTCCAGAGACAAAAGGTCCGGATCCCTGACCCTCAAAGCTCCTACAAAATCTTCATATTTCAGTTAAATACAAATATATTTATAATCACACAAACCCTAAAATATTTCCATCATCCTCACTTTAACATTCACGTCCCTCTTCGTTGATTTAGACGCACAAGAATCTCTTGGCGTGGGAAGGGGAGGTACTGACCTTTAAATCAGCTGTGATATAAATCCTTCAGAGTCAGTGTTTAAAAAACGGACAAAAAAACGACCGTAATTCTCATCTTTGTGTCACGAACGAGGCCGTGGAATAAAAACACACTAGAGCTCCAGAAAAACTAAAATCTGTCACTGATTAAATCTTTAAATTCTGCTGTATAATCTTATTTTTACCCTGAAATTAATTAATTCTTTTTAAAAATCTCCAAAACTGTTTCCAGATTTCCAACATGGAGTCTGGACCCCTGTGACCCTGTTAGCAGTAACAGCAGCAGCAGGGGGAGGAGTGCAGCTCTGTCGGAACAGCCTAAACCTTTTAGATTCTGAAACATCTGTGCAGCAAAACCAGCTCACAACAAAAACTGAGAGAGAGAGAGAGAGACCCAGTTCAGCATCAGCTGCTGCCCAGTCAACCCCATCTAAAACCAGTATCTGTGTAGGGGAGACTGGGGACAGTTGAAACACCCTGAATGTCTCTCCTTCACTGTCACTTTTCCTCCTCTTAGCATTAAAATCATGTTAGCATCAGTCTGTTTACTGAGGTAAGAATTTCACTTTAAAATGTCCCTCCCTTATCGTCCTTTAGTGACCGTCGACTATAACACACGTCATTGAAAACCTTATTTTATTCCCTAAAATCTCACGTATTTCATGCTTTTCTAGTGCACCAGGTCACTGCATAATTCTAGAGAAATATTCAAGGTGGTTAGCAGGTTCAGTTCCGTATTTTTGCACTATAAGGCACACCATCAATGAACGTGTCTATGTTCAAACATAAGGCGGATTATAAAGTGCGTTATGCCAAACAAAATGCTCCAACAAACATCAGGCTGTGCGACTTTGTAGCTTAATGAAGTCGTAATAAAACATTTTGACAGATTTTTGATCGCTGTGTACCGCATAAAATCGAGGTCAGGAAGCACGACCAGGATTCTTACGTGAGGCGCACTGAGGATTTTTGAGAAAATTAAAGGATGTTTAGTGCGAAATATACCTGATGTAGTTTAGTAAGATGAAAACTAAACACCAGTGTCAGGACCTAACCAACATGACCACTCAGTTACACGTCTGAACTTCTGTTTTTAGTGTTTATATTTTAAGATATTATAGGCTAACAGGCTAATATTCCTTAGTTTTTAATTTCAGTCAAGAGGACTGAGTTTATATTGAAATATTTTTAGAAATTTATTGCATTAACAGCTGATTTTCAGTCATAATCAATGTGTTTTAATGGGTGTCTCAACTGTACAGTTATGGAGTACAGTTTAGACGGTACTGTGATAAAAATGACCTGATTGTGGAAAAAATTAAACAACTTCTAAATGATAAAAATGGATAATAACTTAATATACAAACAAATTAAACTGCATATGAAAAAAAAACTCTTAATTTTAGTGTTTTTCAGTTTTTATGCAAAGCCAAAAGCGTCTCACCTGTCCCCAGTCTCCCCTACCTGAAACTCTGACAGTTTAGTGCTTCATGAAAAGTTCTCCAGTCTGAGTTTCAGTAAAGTTTAAAACTTAAGAATCTCTGAAAACACACAAAACAAACTAACAAACTAACAGGCGCTTCAGTTTGTGCAGCAGTGGTTCCCAAACTGGGGTTTTGGACCCCTAAAGGGACACCAGATGAGGGTCATGAGGCTCTGAGATTTTTGGACATATTAACTTTAATCAGAATAAAACACTTGTTGGATATCTTCTTCAGTCTTCTGCAGATAAACTGTAAAAAATCAAATTTACTCACACCTCCAAACTATGTTTATTCTGACATTACTTTTTGTTTCGGTA